AAATATTAAACCTGTTAAATATAAGTTGGATCCGCCTTATCATTGCTCAAAGAAGGGGTCCACCCTTACATAGAAAACTTAAATCGAGGTTCATATAAATCGGAATAGATGAGATAAAAATTTAAGATTGTTTATGATTTTTGTATACACACACACTTCGATTTGTTTTATTACAATATTAATATTTGATTAAACACAAAATTTTTAAAAAATGAAGTTCTTGACGGGGAACAACTTTGTAACTAAGTTGGACGCGGCTAGAATCTTTTTATTTTATTTATTATTTGTCTAATGTCTAATTTATGTAATTAATAAAAAAAATTAAAGCAAGGAAAAAGGGAAGATCGGGATCAGGCCATGTGAGGTGTGAGAAGATAGGTTATCAACTATATTATGTTAAAAATGCATTGAATGTATTACATTACTTACACTATCTCCTTATTGGTCCATATTGTTCTCCTCTTTCTCTTCTTCATACTTACTTACACTATCAGTATATAGGTTTAACTATCTTGCATTATTGTAAATAAACAGGGATAATAGTATTAGCATATCATACGGAGGAGGGACCACCACCGGAGCTAGCGGGAGTGGCGGTGCCGGGTCCACCGGCGGCAACGATAGTGATTTCTTTGGAATGATATTTGGGAGCGGCGCAGCAGCAAAATTATCACCATCTACAACCACTACTATTTTATTGTCTCATTTAATTATTTTAGTTTTGTACATTACCACCAACCATGGTGGGCAATTATCATTACAATTATTACACTTACTATAGCATTTTTAGTAAAGAATATTCCTATATTATTCAAGAAAGAATCAAAAGTCAAAGAAAATTTGCAATTTGATAAAGATCAATCACAAGGGTCCCAATTTTTCTTTGTATATAATTTTCTTTAGTTCATCATTTGGTGTCCGATACCTGTATTGAGCACAACTAAATTAGAATTTGCACCGAAAAGTCTTACGTTGGAGTTAAATCGATATCTAACAAAGACGATTTCATACTAAAAACTCGAACCTAAAACTTCTGGTTAAGGATTAAAGAGTACCACCACGACACTGTTTGCTGTTTGTACATAATCAATTGATAGGAATCTCTAGGGGAGAATTTATGAGTTGTTAACTCTTGTGTCAGCATTTTGTTTTCATTTTTTTTCCCCTTCTTGTGGGGTTTTTGAATATGACTTGGAATTGGCGGCCACAGGATTTTCTTGACTTTTTGGGTTAGATGAATTAAAGTGAGGAAATTGTATTAATTTTTTAGAAAGATAGGGTGTGGTTGGCCATGGTTACTTTTTCGGATCATACATCAATTTCAGAGCCTATGTGACTTTTTAGTCATTTTCAATTCAGCCAACACTTTGATAAGATATGTTCTTTTGCTTTCTCGGGAGCTCTGAAGCAATGATAAAATTGTCTTTTCGAGCTATTGAAGCAGTTATTAATACTTGCATTAGGTTATGTTGTTTACATCATATATACTTGCGATGCGATTCTTCTCTGAATTGTACGTGAATACATAATACTTTGTGTACCGTGATGCCTTACTTTTTTTCTTGGATCTCATAATTGCATCAGTAAAATGTGGATGTCTCCACTACTAAAACAGAATTGACATAATCCAAGTGTAAGAATGATTTGAGGAAATTCTAGATATCCTTTTCCCTTAATAATTCAAGATTTCAAGTTAATAGGGGAAAGAACGATATTGTATTTTGTATAAATAAGAGAAAGCAACTAGGAAGAGAGAATTATAACTAATCTTACTATAGGGAAAAAGATTGAGTTCAAGCTTTTTAACTCCTTTCAACGGCATCAACAGCTTGTAACATTTCAATAATTAAGGGCCTTATCATTGGTAACATGCGCCTAAATAATCTCCGATTAATCGCTTATTAATTAAAATGGCTGAAAAATATAAAATCTCCTCGATAAAAGAAAAAAAATAAAGTAATGCAATAACTAATATTATTGTGGATGAAAAAAGAAAGTTAAGAACTCATTATAAGAAACTAATTCACCTCAATTTTGCTGTCTTCATTGTTATTGTTCGTCATTGATATTTATCTCCATTCAATTAATTTCTCCATAATTAAGAGCCAATATACAAGAGGTGCCACTTCCCTTTGCAACAACTAGCTCCCTCCAACACAACGTCCAAATCCTCCAATTTTGTGACTATGCAACCATTATATACTCAGAAATACACTAGAAATACGTATGTGAACATATCAAAACTAAGGCCAAGCCTTGGAACTAAAAAAGTTCTACTTCCATGTCTTCTCCTCCTTCCAATTAGGGGTGTTCGTCGGTCCGTATTGTACGGCAGTGGCGGACCCAGAATTTTGTGCAAGCGGGTTCAATCTTAGAAGTACATAACTTTAGTCGTAAAATAGTAGTTGTCAAGTGGGTTCTAAGGGTGGCAAGTGGGCCGGTCCAGGCCCGGGACCGCGGGCCAAACGGGCCTGGGCCGGTTTTGTGGGTCGGTCCTATGATTTGGGCCCGTCAGGCCCGGGACCATTTAGCCCGCCAGGGCCCGGGA